CGAGGGGGCCCATGCAGGAGGCAGCTAATTGATGTTGAGGTCTCTCACTCATCCATGTTTCTATCTCTTTCTTCCTCTCAGTTCCTTTCTCTCTAAAGTCAATAAAAACATATTAAAATAAAGAAATGAAGTTTTAAAAAATAAAATAAATTTTGGATGGATCAGAGTAAATATATTCTTATTTGTAGAAGAAAAAATAATTGACTATTCATCAGACATTCAGAAAAAGGATGATTTTGTCCCTCCTCCTTGTTTTTTTAAAGAATAAGTTTCTTTTTCTTCCCTCTCTCTTCTGTTTTTTTTTTCAAAAATAAATGGAAGTTGTAATGAGTTCTTCCCACAACCCATTGAATTGTCTTGCATATACACTGGGGGCACATCTATTCTGTATTTAGACAAAAATGAAACATTAGAATAATTCTCCTCTAAAGAATTTTTGGATAAAATGAACATCATTTGTACTTGACTTAGGAATGTGACATTAGCACAGTATAAGAAAGTGTACTGTAGCTTTGCGGTAGGCTGCCTTGGGGTGGTTTTCTATCAGCAGCAGTGGAAATATTCACAACTCCGATCGAGACTTGGACTGAGCATCCTCTGATATTCCTGCTAAGATCCTAACTCAGGAACAGCCAAGTGGAGAGATGCATAGGGCCAAGTAGGAGGGAGGGGCGTGGAACTTCCACGGGCTCTCTGGGTGCGATATTCTTCCAGGACCTCCACTTGTTCACCAGCCCGAAAGCTCCTCAAAGGATATGTTTCTAAACTTTATAAGATAAGGAATCTCAATAGCCGTGACTACCCAAGAATGAAAGATAATGGACTTTAAAGGTATTCTTAAATTTAAAAAGCAGATATCAGCTTTGTGCACTGGCAGTGTTCCAACCAGGAGATCTTCCCTAGGTACTATCATGAGTAATAAGGACCCTTCCAGTGCCTCACACAAATTCAAATGTATTCAACTCATTGTATTTCATTTAGATAAGAAGACAGTACACAAGGGTGAATTGTGCAAGATGGATCATCCTGTATAATAAAAGGCCAGAGGCGTCATGACCGGAAGGACTAGAGACCAGACCACCATGGCCCCTCGTGGGCTGGCCCCGCTCCCAAGCAAGCGGTTAGGGGCAATCAGGCAGGCAGGCAGAGTGGTTAGGGGAGATCAGGTAGGCAGGCCAGCGATTAGGGGTGATCAGGTAGGCAGACTAGTGATTAGGGGTGATCAGGTAGGCAGGTAGAGTGGTTAGGGGTGTTCAGGTAGACAGACCAGCAGTTAGGGGTGATCAGGTAGGCAGACAAGTGGTTAGGGGCAATCAAGTAGGCAGGCCAGCAGTTAGGGGAGATCAGGTAGACAGATGGCCCCTCACCAGGCTGACTTTGTCCCCAAGCAAACGATTAGGGGCGATCAGGCAGGCAAGTGGTTAGGGGTGATCAGGTAGGCAGACGGCCCCTCACAGGGCTGGCCCCACCCCCCAGCAAGCAGTTAGTGGTGATCAGGTAGGCAGGCAAGTGAAAGATGGAGGCCAAGGCCAACCAAGCCATCGCACCCCAGCCTGTCACCTGCAGAGGGAGGCCACCAGTGGCAGGGGACGGGGGACAGCGCTGCACTGATGGCAGGCAGTGACAGTGGTGAGGGTGGGGCCAGCTGCCTGCAGCCTGGGAAGGAAAGCCCCAATAGGCCCTGATCTCAGGCCAGGCCTAGGGGACCGAGGGTCCCGGATTGTGAGAGGGCGCAGGCCTGGCTGAGGGACTCCCTCAAGTGCATGAATTTTTGTGCACCAGCCTCTAGTTAAAGAGCAGTTATAACAATGAAAAATCAGAAACAACCTAAATGTCTACAATTTGGCGTTTGGTTAAATAAATTATGATAAAGCTCTATAATACAATGCCAATCACTAAAATGATAATATAATATTTTTGAGAGTGAAAGACACTTAGTTTATTGTTGAAAAATTCGATTACAAAAAGACAAGAGTAATTAACTGTGGTAGGATTTGAAGTGATCTTTACTGAATCTAAACTCTTCCATATCCTTTTCTTCCTCCAATAATCATGATGATCAGAAAGGATATAAGACCGTTTTTTATTTTAGAAAAAACGAATCCAAACTGACCTGGAAAATCATTTGACACAGGTTAAGTCTTTTAAAAAAATCAGGTAGGCAGTTAGATTTTCAAAATCTTTATTATTGTAAGTATTACATGTCCTGGCCGGTTTGGTTCAGTGGATAGAGTGTCGGCCTTCAGCCCAAAGGATCCCGGTTTCGATTCCTGTCAAGGGCACGTACCTCGGTTGCAGGCTTCTTCCTGGCCGGGCCTAGGTCAGGGCATGTGCAGGACGCACCAGTTGATGTGTTTCTTTCACATCGATGTTTCTCTCTGTCTTTCCCTCTCTCTTCCACTCACTCTTAAGGATCAGTTGGAAAGGTATCCTCAGGTGAGGATTAAAAAAAATTATTATATATGTCTCCCATTTTCCCCCCAGTGACCCCTTCCAGCCTACTGGTTAAGTCTTTATTATTTAAAGAGCGCAAAAAATTTAAGAAAAAAAATGGAGGAACTTATGGAGAACATGAACAGATAATATATAACAGAAAATAGAGGTGATAAACCTATGGATCATTATTCAGATTCATTTGTAATCAAAGAAGTGTAGATTAAAATGAGATGGCATTTATTTTTACTTGTTAAAATCAGCAAAAGTTGTTCACTGCCATCTAAGAAAAATTAATATCAATAATTGTAGGATATTCCTTTGGTACTATTAAAAATGGAAGATTATGGAGATTATGTTGCAGCCTGGAAAAAACATAACAGTTGAGTGAAATAATTAGGAATTAAAGTTTTTAAACTAATTAGGTGGGATAGGGAATGAGAGAGAGCAGGATCCCTCAAGTGAGAAAAATCTGGATTCAGTCCCACTCTGCCACTTAGTAATTCTGCAACCTTGGGCCAGTGTATGAACCTCTTTGAACTTTGATTTTTTTTTCTTCTAAAAATGAGATGCTTACCTCTCTGGTTGTAAATGTAGACATAGCACCTGACCAGAAACTGATATAGTGTTCATTCAGTAAGTTTTTGTTGAATGAATGAATGTGGTTACTAAGTGCTATATGTAACAGGTGTATATGAAGAAAGATTAGAGGAAAATACAGGAAAATTATGGTGCTTATGTAGGGTAAAGGGAATATGAGTTAATTGACATTTTCCCCATTTTCTATAATTTGATGGTATTTATAATTAAAATAATTATCTAAACTCAATACTTTTAAAAATCTTTTCCTTTTGGGTGTCCTATTGTACTTAATATTTGAAAAACAAATCTTGAGACTTGATTGCATTTAAAATATTATTTCAAACACCTTGGTGTCAACCTCAACCCCTTTCTTTCTCTCTGCACCTTACATCAAACCTATCAGCAAATCTTGCGGCTCTACCCTTTAAAGTATATACCGGAAACCCTACCATTTCTCACCACCTTCACTGCTACCATTCTGGTACAAGTCACCATCAGTCTCTGACCTGGAATACTGCATAGCCCCCTCTCTGGTCTCTCTGACTCCACCCTTGTTCCTTTCCGGTATATGTATTGATTTTTAGAGAGAGGAAGGGAAACGGAGAGAGAAACATTGATTTACTGCCTCCCACATACCGCCTACCAGGGATGGAGCCCACAAGCCAGGCATGTCCCCCAACTGGGAATTGAAGTGGCAATCTTTCAGTGCACAGGACAGTGCTCAACAAACGGAGTCACACCAGCCCGGGCTCTAGTATATTCTTAACACAATAGCCAAAGTGAATATAAGCCAGGCCATGTCACATCACTGCCGAGAAACCTGCAGTGATTTCTCATCTCATTGAAAGTAAAAGACACAATCCTTAATGTAGCCCCTGTATAGAATCTGTCTTCCACCCCAAAACTCATCTTTCTGACCTTATTTCTTGTCATTCTGTTTTTCTGTTCTCTCTGCCTAAAAATTATGCCTGCAGTTATTTATAGGGCTCTTTCCCCTCCTTTGGTTTGCATTGATGTCAACTTACCATCAAGTAGGCCTCCCCTCATCATACTACCCTTTCCCTCCACCGACACCCCTAGCACTCTTACATCCCTTCCCTGCTTTATTTTTTCCAGCACCATTTGTCTTACTCCAAATCTTTTACCAAATATGTGTAAGCTTATGTATCTCCCCCAATAAAAAATCCCAGGGAGCCCTAGCCAGTTTGGCTCAGTGGATAGAGCGTCAGCCTGGGACCAAAGGGTTCTGGGTTCGATTCTGGTCAAGGGCACATACCTTGGTTGCAGATTTCCCAGGCTGGGCCCTGGTTGGGGTGCACATGGAAGGCAACCAATCGATGTGTTTCTCTCACATCGATATTTCTCTCTGCCATTCTAACATCAATGGAAAAATATCCTCGGGTGAGGATTAAAAAAGTCTCATGGAGGCAGAGATTTTTTGTTCCTTGCTATAACCTGAGCACCGAGAATAGTGTCTAGTACATAGTAGGTACTCCATAAATAGTTTTAAATAAATTACTTTTTAATTGTCTCAAAACCAGTTGTTGCTTTTGTATGCTTCCCATCCCCCAACTTCAGCCCTCAAGTGTAGGAAAAGCAAGGCAGGTGGGCAACTAGTGCACCCCAATCAATATCGGTGGCACCGATTCCTTGGCCTCTCAGGCTACGCTTGAGATAGAGGGTAGGGTGTGTGGGAATGTTCTATATCTTCATCTGGGTGGTGGCTCCATGACTAAATACTTATGCAAAAACTCATGAAGCTGTGCATTTAAGATTAGTGCACCTTTGGTACTAAAAAGCTCTAAAAAAGTTCGTTCCCTTCTTTGAGATCGCCCGAGGAAGTTAACCACGCTAAATGACACATGAAGACGATTAGGAAAGAGTTCTGCATATTCTTTCTTATTGAGAATTTGTAGTTTATTGAAATTTTTCTGTTGAATTCAAAATTAAAGTAAAATAATTTTTATTTACTTTGTCTTTTACAGAGTTAGTAGTAGCAGACTTGCAAAGAAAAATCAGAGAGGCGTTTGAAGTGTTTGACCATGAGCTGAATAATACAGTGGATGTGAGGTTTGGAAATATTTTTTTGTTCTTATTCTAAATTACTGATATAATTCATAAAATAGAAGAGGGCTCTTTTTTCTTTTTTAAACATTCCTTGGATTTATCATGCTATTTTAACTATTTGTGTTGTGGTGCCTTGTAAAAGGTCTTTTTGCTAACTACTGCTTCAGATGCATACTATTTCTTATTCTTTATAGTCTGGTGAGAAGAATATATCTACATTGCCTGTTCCAAACTAATTCTGTGAGTTAGAGAAACTCTACTGTTGCAGTAGTGCTAGACACAAAGTTGGCATTCAGTAAATATTTGTCAAGTGAATGAATAGATTTATTTTAAAACTAGAGGCCCAGTGCATGAAAATTCCTGCCCTGGATGGGGGTCCCTCAGCCTGGCCTGCTCCCTCTCACAGTCTGGGAGCCCTCAGGGGCGGGAGGCGACCCGGCGATCAGGGGAAGGTGACGCCCCATCACACCTCTGCTGCTGCCACAGCTGTCAGCGCAAGCCTTGGCCTGCCCTGGTTACCTGAGCCTTGGCAGCCCTGGGTGGCTGGGCAGCTGCCATTCAAGGCTTGCCTGCGTCTCGGGCTGGCCCTGGGTGGCTGGGAGGCTGAGGGGACTGGGGGTCTCCGGAGGCAGGCACACGGAGCAGGGCAGTCAATTAGCATATTCCCTCCTTATTGGCTGTGGGCACCACCATCAGCCACAGTGGGTGGAGGGGAGCCCAGGTATTGTGTCTGCCACAGCCAGTGGGTTTTCCATCACTGTGTGCAACATGAGATGCCTTGCTGCTTTCCACCAGCTCCCAGGGGCAATTCTGAGGTCTGGAATCAGACTTCCTGAGTTCCAGGCCTGGCTTTGTGACTGTGAGTGACTTACTGATGCCTTCTGGGCCTCAGTTTCCATATTCCCCTCATAGGAGTATTTGACACAGCAGGGTTAGGAGACCCCTGTGTGTCCCAAGGACCCTTTCAGGGGTCTGTGAAGTCTAAAATATTTTCATAATAAATCAAAGACAGTATTTGCTACTTTCAATCTCATTTTTTTTTTCACAAGTGTGTATGGAGTTTTTTAAAAGCTACATTTTATGTAATATTGCAGCATATTGCATGCAGAACCAGATAGTAGAATTCAGGTGTCTTCTATTAAGCCAGACATGAAAGAGACTTGCAAACATGTAAAACAGCCATTCTTCTAATTAAAGTTATTTTTTGGTTTGGAAAACGTAGTTTATTTTCATGAAAATTATGTTATTAATGTAAACGCAGAATGGGTTTTTAAATTGTTCTTTCTAAATAAAGTAATAATATTTTTAAAATTTGATGTTTGATCTCTAATGCAGTACTTAGAGATAAATATAACTCATATTAACAAACTCTTTGAGGATCTCAGTACTTTTTAAAAGTGTAAAGGGGAATTGAGATCCAAAAATTTAAGAACTGCTATTGTCAATGGGCATTTTTATTATTATTTTTATTTATTTATTTAAAAAATATTATTATTGATTTCAGAGAGGAAGGGAGAGAGAGATAGAAACATCAGTGATGAGAGATAATCATTAATTGGCTACCTCCTGCACTCCCACTACTGGGAATCAAGCCCACAACCCAGGCATGTGCCTTTCACTACTAGAATTGAACCCAGGGCCCTTCAGTCCACAGGCTGATGCTCTATCCACTGAGCCAAATGGACTAGGGCTGTCAATGGGCATTTTTAAAACTCTTAGAACATTTTCAGTTTGTGACTAATTTGCTTGGGATTTAATGCTTAGAACAATATTAGGTATTATTATTTAATTTGTTCCACTTTATATTCTTGTGGTAAATAATTTAGATTTATTTTTCCTCTATTTAATCTGGGTTAACAATGTTATATTGTACATACAAAATTCTCATAAGACCTCTTTACTTATTTCTGTTTTTGATATTTTAAGTTCTGAAGCAGTTCATTTTCCTTGTTAAATAGTTTTGAAAGTTGAGGTATATTTTCAAAATCATTATTTAGGAGCAGTTTTATTTTGCCTCATACAAAACATAGGACATAATATATTTTTTATTTATTTATTTATTTATTTTTATTGCTTAAAGTATTACAAAGGGTATTACATATGTGTCCATTTTTCCCCCCCGCCCTAGACAGTCCCCTAGCCTCCCCTATCCCCCAGTGTCTTAGGACATAATATATTTTGACTTACATACATTTTCCTGTTCTGTGTTCAGATTTAAATCAATAATATTGATTGAAAATTACGGTTTTGAATAGACAGTATGTTTATGTGGGATAAAATTCAAAAGGTATAAAAACTATATAGTGACAGGTCAGTCTCTTCGCCTCTAACTCCTGGCTATCCATTTCACCTTTCTAAAGGCAAGATTTGTTATAAGTTTCTCTGATTCTTCTAGAGATTGTCCATGCAAGTACAAATGTGTATGTGTATGTATGTATTTTTATTATAAATATATATAACATAAAATTTAACATTTTAAAACCCATTTAAAAGTTTAATGTCTGATTCAGTTTGGAAAATTATACACACTGGTTATGCAGTTTATTGCTTTTAAACATTAAAAAATTTCAGTTAACAGCTGACAACTGTATTGTTAGTTTTAGGTGTACAACATAGTGATTAGACATTTATGTAACTTATGAAGTTATTGCCTGCATAAGTCTAGTACTCATCTGACACCATTATTAGTTGTTACAATACTAGAGGCCTGGAGCACAAAAATTCATGCTCTTGGGGGGTGCCTCAGCCTGGCCTGAGCCCTCCCGCAGTCTGGAACCCCTTGGGGGATGTCCACCTGCTGGCTTAGGCCCTAAGCTGGCAGTCAGACATCCCTCTGGCAGCCTGTGAGCCCTCGGGGGATGTCCGACTGTGGCTTAGGCCCGGCGAGCAGGGCTAAGCTGCAGTCAGACATCCATAGTGGTGCTGAGGAGGCGGGAGAGGCTCCTGTCACTGTGCTCGCAGCCATCAGCCCGGCTTGTGGCTGAGCAGAGCTCCCCCTGTGGGAGCGCACTGAGCACTCTGCATTGAGCGTCTTCCCCCTGGTGCTCAGTACGCATCATAGCGAACGGTTGTTCCTGGTAGTTCTGCTGTTAGGGTCAATTTGCATATTACCCTTTTATTATATAGGATTATTGACTATATTCCCTATGCTGTACTTTTCATCCATGTGACTATTTTTATAACTGGTGATTTGTACTTCTTAATCCCTTCCTCTTTTTTGCCCACCTCCCCAAACTCTCTATCTATGAGTTTGTTTCTTTTGTGTTTGCTTTAGTTTGTTTTTTAGATTCCATATGTAAATGAAATCACATGGTATTTATCTTTCAATAAATTTAACATTTTAACCATTTTAAGGATACAGTTCCCTGGCATTAAGAACATTCATATTACTGCCATCTATCTCCAGAGTTTTTCATCTTTCTAAACGGAAACTCTGTACCCTTTAAACCAGCGATCGCAAACCTTTCAGACCTCATGGACAACCAGTGTTTGGGGAACCACCATTTGGTGACTGCTACTACAAAGGTTTCCTTAAACCAGCAGTTGCCAACCTTTCAGACCTCACGGAACACCAGTGGTCCGTGGACCACCAGTTGGCCACCACTGCTTTAAACAATAACTCTCTATTTCCCTTCTCCCTAATTCCTGGAAACCACCATTGTACTTCTTATTTCAATGAGTTTGACTTATACGAGGTTCCTCATATAAGTGGAATCATACAATATTTGTTCTTTTGTGTTTGGCTTATTTCACTTAGCATAATGTTCTCAAGGTTCATCCACATAGTAGCATGTATCAGAATTTCCTTACTTATAATAAGGCTGTATAATATTCCACTGTGTGTATGTACCATACACATACATTGTTTATCCATCTGTTCATGGACACTGAAATTATTCTTAACTTTTGGCTATTTGAATAATGTGCTGTGAACATCAGTGTACAAATATCTGTTGAAATCCCCGCTTTCAGTTCTTTTGGGTATAAGCCCAGAAGTGGAATATCTGGGTCATGATAGTTCTGTTTAATTTTTTAACACCACACTATATTGTTTCCCAGGAGCAACACCATTTTACATTCCCACCAGCACAACATAAGATGCTTTTTTTTCCAGTTTCTCCACACCCCCTCCATAACTTGTTAGTTTCTAAATTTTGTTTTTTTTCAAATAACCAGTCTAATGGTTATGAAGTGGTAATGTTGTGGGTTTTTTTTTATATATATTTTATTGATTTTTTTACAGAGAGGAAGGGACAGAGATAGAGAGTCAGAAACATCGATGAGAGAGAAACATCGATCAGCCGCCTCCTGCACATCTACTGGGGATGTGCCCGCAACCCAGGCACATGCCCTTGACCGGAATGGAACCCGGGACCCTTCAGTCCGCAGGCCGACGCTCTATCCACTGAGCCAAACCGGTTTTGGCAAATGTTGTGGTTTTGATTTTTATTTCCCTAATGACTCTTGATGTTCAGCATATTTTCATGTACTTATTGGCCATTTTTACATCTTTGCTGCAGAAATGTCTATTCGAGTCCTTTGCCCATTTTTAATTGGATTGCTGTTTGTTTTTTATGTTGAGTTATATGATATATGTATATTTTTAATATAAGTGAGAGACTATGTAAACCTTTTGCATTTTTCACTGGTCAATATATCTGTGATTATTCTTTGAAAAAATTATCTTTATTGATTTTTTTAGAAAGAGAGGAAAGGAGAGGGGGAGAGAGAGAAATATGGAAGTGAGGACAAAACATCGATTGGCTGCCTCCCACACACCCCACCCCCTATTGGGGATTGAGCTGGCAACCCTTTGGTACACAAGACGGTGCCCAACCAACTGAGCCACACTGGCCAGGGCTGTGATTATTCTTAATACACTAGAGGCCTGATGCATGAAATTTGTGCAAGGGCCTTGGCTCCAGCCCCCACCCACTGCTGCTGTGCCTGGGGGCCTCTGCCGCGTCTGCCACGGCCCCCACCTGCTGCAGCTTTGTCTGGAA